TAAGTAAGCAGGAAAAATAATCAAATTAGATTCAATACTACCTTTTATACTTGAACCAATTTGGCCTCTTCAAGTCCTTTGGGTTCCTTCTTGTCCCTTTGCACAATGCCTATCAATTCAAGTATAATCACAAGCCACATTAACAACCATGGAAGCTTGAATACAAACACTTAACCTTAAACCTACTCAAATCCTCTTTTTTTTTTTTTTAACATAATCACTCCTCCTTTGATTCCAACAATCTCTTGGCTCATTCCTATATAATTTTTTATGTAGAATCCAAATATCAAATCAGATTTTATGAAATCGCATTCCTTCCCTTTTAATTCACTTTGACATAATAGGGGGTATTATATTACAAAATTTTTATTTTTGATTCCAATAATTCCAAACACTTTTTCTTGGTGTTTCTCTACACAAAAATACCTGTTGAACTTATTGAAATCATCAAAACACATCAAAACAAACTCCTACACCAAAAACAACAAGTGGCCGAATTGAATGTTATAATACCCTAACTTAGTTTTCTTCCAAAAATCAATCTAAACATCATTTAAACATGTAATTCCAAACTCATAGTTAAGGTTTCTATCCTTCCCTAATCCATCCTTAAACTGACTGAAAATCACAGCATAGAACCCTAGGATTTTATCATGAAATTTCAACCAAAACAAGCTTGAATCTTAACCAAAACAAAGCTCAAACATACCTTAATGGATCCTTGACCAAAGCTTGATATTTTCTCCTTCAATTTGCACAATTTAACACTCTTCTCCCAAGCCAAGAATTCAATTTGACAGCACATCCCCTCTTTTGTCAATTTTTGGCTATTTTAGTGTAATTAAGGGGTATTTATAGAGTGAAATTTCTGACCTCACACTCTCCATTTAGGCATGATTTTTTGCCACTTGGGAGGCCACTTGGCTGCCATCAATGCTCCATAATCTCATATCCTACCATGTGTTCTTATTCCAGAATATTTCACTAATATTTTGATTGAAATTGGGCTTAAATCCATTTTAATTATTAGGTGAGGTTTGCATGAACTTTTGGGCCTTTCTTTGGCTAATGTGGCGTCTATTTTTGATCTGAAAAGTATCAAAAATTTAGCCTAATAATAAGATATTAACTCCAAACAATATTGAAGCTTATCAGTTACTATTCATTTGTAACTTTTCATAATTTTTCTAGACTTTCAAAATTGTATTTATTTCCATAAAAAAATCCTATTTTAATATAATAATGTAATCTGAAAATTTATAAAATTTTTCTCCACCTCTAACTATTTATTTTGTATTTTCTTTGGATAGGGCTTTATTAGTAAGACTTTCGGAACTAAATTCCCTAAAATTAATTCCTCTACTTCCTGGGCCTGAAATCAATTTTATAAGTTCCATCAAATATTTAGATAATTACTCCACATTTTTATTGGAATTATTGAGGCCTCTAAATAATTATAATAATTATGTTTACTCAATTTTCATTATTTTTTTTTGAAAAATCTCTGTTTTCAGGGAATTCAGTAATAATCTATTTTCACACCAATTTCACCTTTAGGGCCTCTATTGAGGTTCCAGAACCTTTTATTCACCTTTTTGTCATTTTCTGAGAATTTTCCGGAATTGTTCTCCAATTTTTTCCATTTTGCCCTTCTTGGACTAATAACTTTAAAAGTATCAGTCCGGACCCTATTCTGATTTTATATCCTACCTGGCCTTGTCAGCAGTCTGCCTTCCATATTGGCCCTTGACTTAATTTTTCACATCCATCATCAGGGTTAATTTTTGCAGGATGTGACATATTAATTAAGAAGATAGAGATAAAGATGATGCATAATAATACACAACAAGTTTATCCTATTCTAGTCTCTCCAAAGACCTACATCTAGTCCCCAAACACCTTTAAGATTTTCAATCCAGTATATTCCCTAAGATTCAGTGGGCTCTTGGTGCTTATGTACAATCCTCAAGTTTACTACGGGTATTTGAGAACCTCTCCCCTTTACAATTTGTATGGTTACAATCTATTTCCTACTCAAGATCCCCCCATCTCAAGTAACTTTCACAAAGATTGATGTGTACAATAAAAGCATTCTTCTCTCTATGAAGTAGATTTTCTTAAACATTGAAGCATGATGAGAACATAATTTTGGAGCTTTGAATGTAGATGCAAGTAATTCAAAATCTCAAAATTTTGACATTATATACACACTTGCTCTGTGTTACCTTCTAAATTTGAATTCCCTCTCTATTTATGGTTGATTATGAAAGATAACCTTTTCTTTTTCCTATTTGGCTTGTATAATATGACCATTGAAACTAACTATTGAAAGCTTTTGACAAAAGATGATTAGTGACACCATTTATCTGTTAAAGATTAATTCATGCTTAATCACCTACTAAACATGTTGTTAGATGATCTAAGAAATTTTTGTAAGTATCAAATATGTTTAGATAGAGTATCAAAGATTTAGACTTGATTTCAAATCCGTCAGAGAAACAAAGTATGAAGAAGCTATTTCTAACTTGGATACCTATTCAAATAAGAATATGAGTGAAGGCTTCTTGACTTGAATTATTATTCAAATAACAAAGAAGATATCATCCAAAAGCTTTTGACAAAAGCTAGCTCTTCACATCATAAATCCGTTGAAGCTTAAACTTGTTTCTAACAACCTGCAAAACCAAGCATGAGTAGTCTACTGCATTTATATGAGTGTTAGGCAACTTAGAAGGTATTTCCAAAGCATTAGGAAGTGTTTTTGAATCGAAAGTATAAAATCATGAACACAAACCAATAGTTATGACTCATATATATTTCAATAATGCTTTTCAAAGAGTTCAAGGTTTATCCGAATATGACTGGGAATAAAAGAGAGGAATGGCTTTTGTTTGGATAACCATTAAAATACAAGTTTCAATTTGAAGTAATAACAAGTGTTTTATTTGATATAGCGTGGGAGTCAGATAAAACAATGGTTTGACATGAATAAGGCTTGGAACGAAAGTTTGACTTGGAAAAATGTTTAGGATTATTCAGATTTGAGTTCTAAGTCATTTTAGAAAAGAGAAGGTGACTCAAATAAGCACTCAAATAAGAGTATATGCGACTTTTTTTTTTTTGGTGAAAAGAGTATATGTGACTTTAGAGAATGTGTATGCTTATTTGAAATAGACTAGGAGACATATAGAAAATGAAGGATGTCTTGAACAAGCAATCGAATAAAGTCACTTTGTCATTTGGAAGTATTGGAGTATGGGAGTAAAGGATACGGAACTTTTTTGGCTTGAAGTGTTCTTCGAATAAATTTGAGCTTGATGCAAGCAAAACAAAGGTCAAATTTTAATGGTCATAAGTCCCTCAATTTAGCTCCAAATTAAAATTAGCAAATGACTTATCCTTGGGAAACTCTTGGAGTCTACTTTTTAATGAAACAAGAATCATTCTAAAATTCACTGGAATCTCAGGTATCTTCAACATACTAACTTCAAGTCTAGATCAAGGCATGAAATCTGAGCACTATGTTTTGAACAACACATCTCTTTCTTATGGAACCCTTTGAGGTTGATCATTGTGTCCATAAACTGTATTCTAAGTCTAGTTTCATATGAATCAAGTTTGACTTCAAATGGATCTGTGGTTTGTGAGATATTGTAAAAAGAGCAAACACATTACAAAGCGGAATGAAAAACAGAATATGTTGAGAGATTAACTCAAATAAAAGACCAACTTAACTCAAATAAAACATGTGAAAATCATCTCTGAAGATTATATTCTAGTTTAGATGAAGAGTAAATAAAGTTATGATGACATAACTTCCATTTGAGACACTTCCAATTGAGTATAGCAACCTTAAATACCAAATCTAATAAATTGAATCTTGATATTCTTATTTGATCTTGCACTTTCTTCAAAATCCCTTCTTTGTTCTCCTGGTCATTCTCCATAATTCTATTTGATAACTTCTTTCTCTTCACTCACCTAATTCAAGGTAATCTAATTAGATATAATAGATGGTCAAGGTAGGATAAAAAAAGTATGCAAACTTTTTCTTATCCTGTTGACATTAACGACACTAATTGTGTCTAACATTACATACGGCTCATTTCTTATCAGGATTTTTCAATTATTTCCCAAAATTAAATGGAATTATAGTATAACTTTTTATGTAAAATGTATACACAAAATGTAAAATGATTACCTTTTGAATTTTTTTTTTTTTTAAAAACCAGTCATAGCCACGATCAGCAACACCACCGTAATTATCTTTCACCACCATCAGACTATCAGACCCCCGTCAAACACCACACAATCACCGTTAACAACCTGAAAAGGCAAATCACATCCTGAAACAAATTAAATATCCCACCAAAAGAAACGAAGATACCCCAGGGAGCATAACACTAGTCTGTCAAAGAATCGTGGTCGGCCACCACACCCAAATATCTGGCCTAGTACAAAGGAGTATAGATTAGGATTGAGATTGAATCTATTAAAAGAGTCTTAATACAACAGATTGCTTGCCGCATAGTATTAGATAAACCCATAAATGTTATATTAAAAAATATAATGAGTAGAAGTAATATTTTCTAATTGTCTAATCTTATGTATCAAATAATTACTCATACTAAATAATTTTTTAATAATTTTTCTTAATTGTAATACCAACATTCATCCCTCATTTTTAATATTTCGTATCAAACAAGACCAAAACCTTCTTTGAAAGTTCGGCCATCTTTGACCAAAACCATTTTTGCAAGCAAGACAAACCCAAAAACTGCAAACGGCATCGAACCAAGACGATTTTATAATGAGAAAAAACTGACCTGTTGGGCCAAATCTACAGATGATGGCAACAGCACGGGGTGACTATTCATCGAAAGCCTAGTGATCATGAGGGTTTTTTGTTTTTTTGTTTTTGTTTTCGTGGTCTACAGTGATCATGAGGTTAACAGTAAGAAAAAGAATGGACTCCGTGATTCTACAATAGGATTCGCTCATACCAAACACATCGTAACTTGGATTCCAATTCTATTTCCATTTTTTTTAACCCAATTCTCATGTATCAAAGGACATTTAATCTTGCCAGACGTGGAGATTCCCGATGATATTCTACCCAAATCTTGTGAATCAAAATATCTTTTCGACTGAGATTACAATGAGAAGGGGAAGCACATAAACCAGCAACAACAAATTCCACAAACTAAAAGCAAACAATTTTTTAAAATACTCCGTCAAAAAATACTGGAATTACAGAGAAACAACTACACGTGCCAATTTCCTGCGTCATCAATTACATCAGCTAATTACCGCAGCAGGCTGATTTCTGGGCAGCTTGATCACCACTGGCAGCCGCATCTGGTTGATTTATCTTGATTGTTTGAGGCTAAACCGACAGAAAACACAAACAAATCAATTTTTACATACTTGGTATTTCAGCAAAAAATAAAATAAAATATGATCAACCACAAATCTAATGTCGGAAAATATAGTAAAAAATATAGAAAGAAATTCCCCATTCACACTGCGTCTAGAATTGTCCAGGACACCATTTGAAGGAGGAAACTTGAGGCATTTAAACTTAATATACTATTTTCCAATAATGGATTTGAATTTTTAAAAAAAGTTTAAAGTAATAATAGCAAGAGTGAGTTAGAAGATGAATCATGGATATAAGCATACACGTCCTAATTTGATTGAAACCAAGAAAAACGTAAGGATAAGTTTTTTCTTTTGAAGAAAAGGAGAAAGCATAACTAGCAATTTTTTTTTTTGGCTGTCTGTTATGTATTCATTATCATTTGTGAACAGTACTTATAACTTGTTATTATTTTTAAAAGGATACAATGATCATTCCTTACCCATGAAATCACCTTTCTTTAATTGACTTTTTCTTTTTATTTTTTTCCATTCTAATGTATCTAATGAGGTTTGTAACAGACATACCTCAACTCTACAGTCTGTTTCTGCAAGCCTTTGCTTGATGTCTCTTGCTATTGAAAAGAAAACCTCTTCCACATTCATGTTTGTCTTTGCACTCTACAAGCATGTTTTAAGACAAATATAACAGATTCACAAGTTTTTGAAGAAGATCTTGGTCAACAACTGGAGGTCGATACTCACAGTTTCAAAGAACTTGATGCCATACTCATCAGCAAGAGCTTGACCTTTCGATGTAGGCACAACCTATAAAAATAAAAGAACATAGGGAAATCATTAGTCAATATAGATACAAAAAAGCATCTCAAACACAGATTCCAGCTCTGTCAGACAGAGAATGCTGAGGTCATCTTCTTAGTGGTTGCTTAGCCCAGGATCCCAGCATCTAAGTCACACGGAACCATCTAAAGCAGACTTCCCTCGAAAACAAATATATAAGGCTGAGCATGGAAACCTTTTCCAGAAAATCATGCATCAGCCAGTTACCAAACTAATTATATTATAACCAGAAATGAAGTTTTGGAAGGTGAATATAAAAGGGATACCCCATATATATATATATATATATATATATATATATGCTTACCCTTTTACTCTCATCCATATCAGCCTTGTTGCCCACAAGTATCTTGTTTACATTGTCAGATGCATGCTGTTCAATGTTGCGAATCCAATTTCTAATATCTGAAGGAATATGAAAGCTACATAAGAATTAAAAGAAAGGGGAATGATGGAAATAAAATACAATTTGATGGGCCAAATATAGCTTAATTGAAAGCTACAATAAATACTGCCAAAAGACGAGTGCATTAAATTCATCATACAGGAAGTAAAAAGAATTATTAAAACATCAGAAAACTTCAAATGTTGAAAGCAAGGGAAGAGAGTACTACTATTAAAAGATGCTTCATCAGTAACATCATAGACCAGCAAGATGCCCATGGCACCACGGTAATAAGCTGCGAAAGAATAAGAAATAGTAAGAGACCTCCATCACATCAAAGAGATATTATTATAACAGACCATAACTATACCTCTACTGCAGAAATTGATAACACGTATTAGACAAGTTGAGATGGTTTGTTAAACTAAAGAGGCTCAGCTTTGTATAAAGCAGTATATAAGCCCTTAATGACTTAAAATGATGGTAAAGCCCAATATTTACATCGAAGAAGGGGGATGAGGCCCAAAGCTGTCCTTCAAAGTTCATCTAAGTAGGCTAGGAGAATTACGCACAAATCATCTTGCCCTCTTGATGCCCAAGTGGGCAAGGATAGCAGCTTGCATATCTGCCTCTCTGCCAATACGTTTTATGGTAAACATTCCTTTCCTATTTGGACCCAAGTTTTGACGGCTGGGAAAGTAGAGCAAGCAGATCTCGCTTACGTCATTGATGTAAAGCATTCTTTCTTCAA